CCGTTTCATGACCACGAAAACCTCTCTCTGCAGCTGTGCCGGCCTGTTTGCAAACACAGTTCAGCACCTGCAGCAAAATAACTGCACGACGTGAGCGGGTTCGCTCTCCTGTACACGAGGGAGGCTGTTGAGGCCCTCAGGGCGTCCCCCGACGGCGTCCCAGCTGGACGGAGCGCCCTGCTCCCCCAGGCCACCAAACCTTGGCTCGCGGTGGGACACGGATGCCATCCCGGGACACTCGGCACCACGACTGGGTGAACCCGGCTGCTGCAGCTGCCACCTGTGAGCACTGATGCACAGGAGAGGCGCACGGGCAGCCTTGAAGCTTCGTCCACAACCTGAACGTACCCTTTGGTGAGAACCACCCAGCTGCTGCTCTTCAAGATGCGCTTACCGAGATACTGACTGAGCTCTGGGGATTCAGTACATCAGAACAGATTAACCAAATACCCACCGGGTGCCCATAATTTTCTGCATTTTCCCTCGGGAAGGAATCATGACTTCTGACGTGCACAGAAGGCTCCTCCTTCACCAATTCACTTGGTTGATGTCGTTGTTCATATCAAGATTGAAGACCTATACCCTGCAGCCCATAAGGATTGACCAGGTGTCCATAGAGGAAGGGAACTCGGCTTGAGCAGACCCCTTAGGCAAGACAAACCCCTGCTCTGTTTGCATGCCCGATGTGGAGCAGCTGCCCTCCCATCCGGGCTAGAATCCCAGCAGAGCAGATCCCAGGGAAGCACATGAAACCCGGCTGGGCTCCGGTCGAGGTGTCACGGGACCATTGAGGCCTGCTCCAAACGAAGGGAGATCCAAGCTACAGCGTGCTAACAGGTCACGTTTTCTTCCATCTGGATCGATTTTGCCTTTGAGTTAACGGGACAACAAGGTGTTTCTCATGCAAAGGCACAGTGCAGCTATACAGCTCAACAAGAGCTCGCAAATCCACAGCACATCTTCCGGTAAGAGAAATGAAAACTTGGCACCAGAGGGGGAGGAGAAGATAAAGCACATTCTGGTCACCTACGGAGTTTGGTGGCATTCAACAACATAGTTCAAGGCAGGATTGAACACTCAACATCCTCAAGGAACGCAGAACATTCACCACAGGAAATGAAAAAATTCAAATGCCGACGGACTTCATCCTTAGGGAGCTGCGGATCTGGCGCCGTGAAGACCGGTTGGTGTCGAAGAGCCCAGAGCGAATCCTCTCGGGCACAGACTGCCCTGCTCGTACCGCTGACCACCTTCCGAGAAGGTTTTCTCATTGGCGTCTAAACCAAGCGGACCACCTTGCTCCAAAAGGTGACCTTCCCATGGGATAATGTCTGGCAATGGCATGTGTTGTTTAAATTAATAAGTTAACATCTCTCCGTGAGGCAGTTCTGAGTGCGTTGCTCCTTTCTGGCACTATTCAGCATTTACAGAGCTGAGGTCCAGGAGAGGGTTCAAGCTTCATAACCTGGTGTTGGCATTGGATTAGAGATGAGGATCAGAAAAGGCTGCAGTTGTGATTTCCTCTTGTAAAGATGGAAAAGCTTCACGTTTCTCTAGTTCTAGAGACCTACAGCGAGCATCAGACAGCATCAACGAGAGGGGCCGTGAGCAGCACGCGGCAGATGGCTCTGATGGCTGGCCACAATTAGAAAAATAGCAGAGGGTATCTGAGAAAGAAACAGCATTGGTGGGAGCAGCCCGCTACCAAATATGAGCTAAGGATTAGAGAGCATTTGTGGTGATGATCCTCAAAATCATACAGGTGGTTTTAGGCTGCCTGTGCAGGTGACAAAATCCCAGCTGAAGGCATTAGTCCAACCCAGCACATTTCCCAAAACAAGCAATGATCTGGATTTAAAGCAGCACTGCTGACTGGGTAGTTTTATGGTTTAATCTATTTTCTGGAAGAGTTTCCACCTGAAAGGCGACAGGCATTTGTGCAGCTTCCTATAGTAAAATCATGCTCCACAAAGGCAGCGCCGAGTCCATACAAATATTTTTACGGAACTGTCAAATAGCTGTGGAAAGGGCTAAATTGTTAATGAGTCAAGAAAAATCCTACGAACCCAGCGCTCTGCACTGCTGCAAACAACATCTGCACGTTGCCCGGCCTCGCAGCCCTGCGCTGCCCTCAGCACGGGCACCACGCGACCAGATTTACGGCATCATTCCCCGTTTGCAACGGCCTACACTGACTTCCACAGAACATAAGTAAACACTTAACCATCCCCCTGGCTCTGTATTTTCATTAGTCTACAAAGCTTGTCTTCGTGAGGAGTTTTCACACCCGTTTTTCTCTGCTCTCCATCTCGGGCCGTTGCTGTTGTTGGTTCCACAGTGACTTGCGATCCCGGCCAGCTGCACCGTCCTTCCGCAGGGATGGACAACGGATCCTTTCATCGCCTCCCAACACCCCCCTCTGTCCTTCCGCAAGGATGGACAACGGATCCTTTCATCGCCTCCAACTTGCTTCCTCCTTGGTGACACAAGCAGAGCTGAAGCTCCACGTCTATTTTCCTACCACATTCCCGCTAATCCCAAGCGCCTCCCTCTGCCATCCTCCCTCCCAGGCTCCCAGCAGCAGCCCCCAGGCGCAGGAAATCGGGGGGAAGAGCAGGGTTTTCAATGCACCACAGCTCGGGATGCAGCCAGGGAGGCAGCGCAGAGGGGGCTGCTGAGAACCAGCAAACTCGTTCTAATGGCACAAAGATTAGCATTATCCCAGTGCTAAACCTAGGCACTACATTTCTTTGGAGAACATCCCTGGAGATGTTAAACTTAGGGAATGACTGACAAAAGTGCAGGAGCAGGGAGATCTCAGCAGCGCCCATCAGGACAGGGCACTGAGCAGCAGCTCCCGCTGCGGGGCTGGGATTGTGGATTCCCCGCTAACCTGCAAGGATAATGTTATCCCGGATATCCAGGAATTCCCGCTGGCTGCTTCCAAGTCGGAGAACGATGAGCCTGCTGCCTTGTCTCCGGATCTCGCCACCGTTCCACTCGTGCCCAGGTGCTGCCTTTAAACATGATCTCTGCCCTGCAATTCCGTGCCGATGGATAACTCGCACGATAATCCTGCTGCCTTTTCCTGCTTTTATTTGTCTACCATATGTGTTTTGCTTCAAGCATGAGTTTGTAAGAACGAGAAGGGGAAGGAAGGGGAGGAAAGCAAAGCAAAGTGGGGCCCTCAGCAGTGCAGCCTGAGAGGCTGCAAGGGGAGGCAGGACAGCAGCCTCCTCACCTCTTCTCCAAAGATCTGTCTCCATCATGTGATTCCCCCCACATTCCTTTAAAAACCGCTTTTAAAACCACTTTACTGTCACAATGGACAGTAAATGTTTGCAAATATACAGAGCAAGAGGGACGGGCAGCACCAGAAGCTGCAATGCAGAACGACGGGGCACGGAGCAGCACAGCCTCAGGCTGCTGGAGCGCTGCCCCCACCCTGAGGAAACCCTCACGCAGGCATCTCCGAGGGGACGAGACAGCAAACGCCACAAAGAGGAGCAAACCAGAACCAGGGCAATGCCTCGACACGGCACGGGACAGAGCACGGGAGAGAAATCCCCAACACTGAGCTGGGGACAGAGCACGGGGGAGAAATCCTCAACACTGAGCTGGGGACAGAGCGCGGGAGAGAAATCCCCAACACTGAGCTGGGGACAGAGCGCGGGGGAGAAATCCCCAACACTGAGCTGGGGACAGAGCACGGGAGAGAAATCCCCAACACCGAGCTGGGGACAGAGCACGGGAGAGAAATCCTCAACACTGAGCTGGGGACAGAGCACGGGAGAGAAATCCCCAACACTGAGCTGGGGACAGAGCACGGGAGAGAAATCCCCAACACCGAGCTGGGGACAGAGCACGGGAGAGAAATCCTCAACACTGAGCTGCAGACAGGCTGCCCAGGTCCCAAAGCTGTGCCTAGAAATAGCTGGGCAAGAACTAGAGCCCGGATTTTATCCACCTGGGTGTTAAAAAGAGGAGGTTTATACACCCCAAGACGTGTATCCGCTCCTTAACCTGACAAAGAGGTGGCAGCTGGCAGGGCTAAGGATTCTAAGGATGCTATCATGGTTTTAGTCTGCGGGAAAGGAAGCAGAAGATGAACTTTGGCTTATGGAAGGAGAGGGAAAAAAGAGGAGTTTTTCTTTTCTAGAATCACATAGCAAACACCACACGCAGCCAGGACGTGCGAGTGCACAATGAATTAGGCAGGCTGCCCCTTCACTAGGCACAACACACGTTTGGCAGAGCCGTGCAGAGCACATTCTGCTGCAGGAAGACGTTCCGGAGCCGCGTCAGCCAGGGTTCTCCTTCACCAGAGCAGGCTGCTCAAGGCCTCCAAAGCACTAACATCTATGCAATGTTAAAACAAAACCAAACACCCTCATACCTTATTATTATTGCATTTACCCTCCCTTAATCTTCAGTTTTCCAGCACTTCTTGCTCCTTAATTACTTTTGATGGGCAATATAAGGGGAGTTTCGAGCTAAGAGGAGGCCTGACGGTGCAGGAGCTCAGCATTACCTCCCGTGCTGAAAACACAGGAGCGGACGGTGCACTCGGATGCTGCTCAGGACAGACCCGTGGGGGCACCAGCATCTTTGGGAGCTCACACTCGGCAGGACGGTGCGAGGGAGAGGCTTTTGGAAAGGCTGCACAATGAACACGAGCACTTGGAGAACACCTTTTCTTCTGTCGTGTCTCTTGTCATCGTTCACTACAAGAGACATCAGCTCTAACTGGGGAAATGCCTGTTTCCAGCTAATCCTGCTCTGCTGCTGGTGATTGATTTCCAGGGCAATCAGCCCCCGGCGAGCACGGAGCGCCCGTCACTCCAGCTCAGCCCCGGGCCAGGCGCCCTGGGACCGATACTGTTACAGCGGGAACAAGGAGGGCATTAAGGGCTAGGTTACATGGAAACACACTGGCTTTTCCCATAACGGGCACTTTGTTCGGACCAGATGTTTTCAAAAACCAAAATATTCCCACTTACCATTTTCAACGTGGGCAAGTCTGTGTACGAGGGGCAGCCACACAAGGCACTGGGGAGGCGGGTCGGCCATCAGCGTGTCTAAAAACATGTTCAGCGTGATCTTTTTCTGCAAAGAAAGAAAAGAGAAGTAGCCCATAGTTTGTGTCATATAAAATTAAGACTTTTCTTATAATTATGTCAGTCTAAATTTGGCTGATTCAGTTTCTGTGTGCCAACAATATATCATGTGTTATAAAGAACAGATAAAAATCACGGCCTTGTTGCTCAGGAAGTTTCCATCGCTGTTAGGCAAACAGTAATGCTGCAGAGAGGGTATTAGCATGGACACAGGATAATCCCAGGAAATTAATGAGAGGCAGCTGAACGGAAAGTTCCACAAAACAGAGGACTCGCTGGTCAGTGGGTCCTGAACTGCAGCTTGAAACTCCCATTTTGAAGAGTGATACAACAAGAAATGGGAGAGGAGTTTAGTCAGCAATGCAGAAAATGGCACTGTGAACACCCAGGCTGTATGGAGATGTAGAAATGCACACAGAAAAAGTGCAATTACAACTAATATTCACATCTTATCTAAGCAGCATTTGCTCTTTTAAATAGACAAAAAGAGACAAACAAGAGGCAAGGGGAGAATCTGAGTTATATTTAAAAGATAAAATTAAATCATGAGGGGAAGGAAGTCAGCAATGGGGCATTTTAAGGGTAATATTTCCTAATGTTTCAAAGTCAGAGGAGCTTGAAAAAAAAGTTCCAACGCCGCTACAGCATTCCAATGCTACTCTCATCTTCCAGGGAATACCACGGGCTCCTTTCAGTGGCCAAACCCCAGGCAGTTGTTGTTGCAATGACACTGTGACTGCTGCAACGAGACGTTACCGCGTGTCCCCTCCTCCGCAAGGCACGGCACAAAACTACATCCCCGAGGCAGCCCGGAGATTTACACGTTCCATCACTGCGATCCAAGGAAATTGCATCAAACAGGGGTGTGTTAGACCTCATTTGTATTTCCAGGTGTCTCTAATTAAGCGACTTAATCTGCGGCTCTATCACTGCGTGCTTACACCACCCTTACACACAAGGCAGTATCGCAACATGATCCCTATCTCCATAGACATCTCCAGCTCAACATATCAGACATATCTTATCTTTCTTAGTCGTTTTGAACGAGACTGCACATCCTGACCGCCACGCAGGAGCACCGGGAATGGCGTTCAGGCCCGCGCGCTTCCCGTCTCCGTAGGGACGGCGTTGGGAGCGCGCTCCAGCGGGCCCAAGGAAAAGCCCCGGCTCCGGGCGCCGCGCTTTGCTCCGTGAAACCACGGCAAAGCCTCTTCCCAAAGGGAGCCAACGCGCACACGAAGCTTCCTGCGGCTCGGGGGGACAAATCCCAATCCCAACAACGCGGATGAGCTGTGGCCCTGATCTCCTCAATCGGGGCTGTTTCCTGTTGAGTCGCACTCCAAATACACTAATTCCCAATCAGCTGAAATTTAGCAAAAGCGACTATAAACCCTCATTCTGAGCATTTCAGATATATTTATTCCAGAACATGACCAGAATCTAGATTCAGATGTAAAATAGCTTAGACATAAGATTATCTAGGCTCATGTTTACAGTTGATTTAAGGCTTATTTACACTATCTAACATTATCTCGGATTAGAAACACATACTCAAAACAATTAAATTACAACTAAAATGTAGAGATAAGTGTAGTCTCTGGGAGGCCTTTTAAGATCAGTATTACTACATTCATTCAAAAAATTACATGAAATGGAAATATTTTGGAAAAAAAGCAGTCATACTAACAAGCATAAGAGCTAAATAGGTTGTCTGTGCACAGCTTGTTCTTTAAATCAGTTTATTTTTGTGCAGCCTCAACCAGCTCTCAACACACCAAGAAACATGAAGAGCTGAGGGGGAAGCAGTGAAAGGCTGTTTCATGTTACGGACAGAAAGAAGAGTTTTCCCTTGTCACTCTTCTCACGGGTACAAAAAAGGCCTGTGAAAAAGGGTGAACATAAAGGATTTGGCACCATTCCACCGCCTGGAGGCCTAGATGGAGTACCTTTAATTGAGCAGACTTTCTCCAAACTGCTGAAATACTGCGCATTGCTCCCGCCAAACCCCTCCGGTGAAGAGGTCCGGGCCCTTCTCGGGAAGCGGGAGCGCGAGGAGCGGCGCGGGGGCCGCGCGGGCCCGTACCTGCTGCGGGAAGCACGTCCGCACCGCGTGCTCCGTGTAGCCGAAGGAGGGCCCCTCGAACACGGCCGTGGGCAGCTTGAGCACCTCGCGCAGGAACTGGTCGAACTTGGCGAGTACGAGCAGCCCGCTGGAGTCCGACACCTGGGAGAAGACGTCTGCAAGAGAACAGCACAAACCGCAGCGCGCGGCGGGGTGACCTCTGCAAGCAGGAGGAGGGGACGCGCTGCTCGGCGAGCACGGCAGCTCTTCACCCTGCTTGCCATACGTAAGCTATACACTACAAGCTATAGACTTTTCCCCATGGTACATTCAAAGTGGGGATTTTTTTATTTGAAGTTTTAGTCATTTTAGTATTTTTTTCATTTTTATGTAAGGAAAATTCTCAATTGCTCTCCATATGGTAAAAGCATCAATTAAGATTTAATCCATTAGGATCATTTAGCTCCAAAACGACCCTCCCAGATCCCGTGTGTTCTATAGAGGCCACTGCACAGCACATGTTCACCGAGACCACACGGGTGTGCACGTGAACAAGATCCAAAATCCTCATCTATTAAGCTCATAGATGGCTTATTATCTGAAAAAGGAAAATGGACTTTACTAGTCTGTACTTTCTTGGGACAAAAGGAGTTTTGCTGGCCTTGACCTCAGATTTCTCCCGTTTTATTTGTGCTGCAGGAACGAGAACTCACTTGCTGGAGGTGACCCTTGTCATGGGGAGGAAGAAAGCTGGGAACTGTGGGCAAATTCCCGTATTTCAGCCTGCACCCATTGCCTCTAACCCTGTCTCTAGGGCAGTTACAGAGACCTGGGCGAAATTTACTTGGACCAGGATTTTAACTGTCTAGATACCTCAATGTGAAGATGTTTTTCTCAACTCACTGCTACCCGTTGTAAAAGTGATGGAGAGCCCTAAGACTCATCCAACCAGCGGAGCAGCCGGGCCCTCCCGTGCTCCCGCTCTCATTCCCTCACTTTTTCCAGCCCTCCACAGAAATCCCTCGAGTCCAGCAGCTTTCTCATAGAGCCAGTGTCCAAATTACCTTAAAGAAATTAGGCAGAAAGAATTTGTTACGGAATGGAGAGAGACTGTAACTGGAGGCCGGGTGTTAAAGGATACGTATTGTTCAAGAAAAACAGGAATATTGGGAAAAAGACGGTTGGAGGCTCTCAAAGGAGAATGAGGTCAGAGCAGGAAGCATTAGCCAAGCTGTGCACGGATAAACCAGAGATGTCGGGATCAGAAATCTCCGCGTTTTCAGACCATGGAGCTGGGGCTTGATATGCCCGGTCAGGTTCCGCTCTGGAGAGATTCCCAAAAAACTGCACTCCCATCAGCAAGAGGGAAAACGTCCCACGGTGAGACGATCCCCCCCGGCGGCCGCTGAGCAAAGAATGCTGTTATTTAAGACACCATAAATAATTCAGCTTTATAGAGGAAGTATCGACAGAAAATAAGGGTGGGGGATTAAAACTATGCCTGTAAAAAGGATTTTATCCCAAATGGCGGATTTCCAGTGGGGAGATTACTGAAATCTTAGTCTAGAAGGTGGGAGTCACGGGTGCTCTAAGTCCAGATAGTTATCTGGAATCTATATCACAGGATAAATGCACAAAACTGAGGGGCAGGCCTGAAGACCTGGTGGATGGAAAAATGTCAAGTCCTATTAGCAATAAGGCAAAAAAACAAAAAATCCAACACAAACTGGGAGTTGGGCGGAGTACTAAAAAATGCTGCGTCTTGGAGAGTTTTAGCCAAGCACAAAAGTTATATTTAACCTGAAGAGTGAATGTGGAAGCCCAGACAGCTTCAGTAATGGATACAAATGGCAATTATGGAAATAACTGCAGCTAAAGAGAAACAAACCTGCAGAATCTCAACCAAGATTCACTCCTGAACTGGCGCCTGTGCAAAAATGAAGCCCCAGCAATAAACCTGTCAAGGTGAGATGGGGGAACATGATGGGAACACGACAGGGCTTGTATTTAAGAAAGGGACAGAGATAATCTGGGTAAATAGAGTCTATTAATCAGAACTGAACAGTGTGCAAGGATTAAAAAAAAAAAACAAGATTTCAGGGAGAAAGGAATGAAAGCTATGGAAATAAACCAGGAGATAAACAGAATATAGCAGAATAAACAGAAAGGGAGCTAAATAGCACAGGCTATATCAAGGGTAAAGAACACTAACCTATTTCTCGCTCTCATAAGAAACATGATTTTCTAGTCAGAGCGAGGCTGAACTCATCCTCATGGGAAATTTCCACGTGGGAAGTCACTAGTGAGATTGGAGAGGCCGGAGGTGAGTGTGATAACTGCACAGGGATGTCCTCCGTGGAGGGCAGGATTTACCTTACAGGGGTCTCGGACACAGGGGAGGCCCAAGGGGCCGTTTCTCGGGATGCCTTCGGGTCACCTGCTTTTCAACAGCACCATGAGGGCCCCGGAGCTGCTGCTGACGCGGTGTCACCCTCCCCTTGTCACATAGAGCTTCACCTCAGCGCTACCACGTTATGAACAGAACAGAGCCTGCCACAACAGGCCACGTGTTAGTATTGCTGTGAACCACTCGTTAGGATTGAAACAAACCACCTCTTTACTCCCACTCCTCCATTTAATAAACAGAGAAATAAGTGGATGAATAAATAAAAAGCTTCTAAAAATCCCAATCCTTCCACTGCACCAAAGCAAAAATCCGTATCCAGGCTAACGCACCTGCTGCAGACGAGCTCCGAAGCCTTTCCTGCTGCTTGGCACCTGCAGCTCCGCAGAAAGCCTTACCAGAGGGAAGAGGGGAGCTGGGAGCAGGGGAGGCCCAGCAGGGATCGCAGCGCACGCGGGACGGGCAAGGGGGAAGCTGGAGCGACCTGAACGCCAGCCTTGTATTTATCTATCTATAAAATATACTGCATATTTATCTGGAATATATTAAAATCATCTCTCCATCACAACATCTTCTGTCTTTTCCATGCAATTTGGAAATTTAGCCATTTCCTATCTGAATTCACCGAATCCCAGAATGGCTGAGGCTGGAAGGGACCTCCAGGGATCCCCCAATCCAACCCCTGCTCCAGCAGGGACACCCAGAGCACGGGGCACAGGGGGCATCCAGGCGGGTTGGACATCTCCAGAGAAGGAGCCTCCACAGCCT